AGAAGAACTCTCTTTATAAAACCATCAGATCTCGTAAGACTTATTCACTACCACAAGAACAACATGAAGGTAACCACCAGCATAATTCAGTTATCTCCCAAAAGTTCCCACCCATGAATCGGGAATTATGGGAACTACAAGATGAAATTTTTTAATGATCGCCATTCTAACTGGTGTGAGGTGGTATCTCAATGTGGTTTTGATTTGCATTTCTCTACTGACCAGTGATGATGAGCATTTTTTATATGTTTGTTGGCCTCATAAATGTCTTCTTTTGAAAAGTGTCTGTTCATATCCTTTGCCCACTTTTGAATGGGATTGTTTGTCTTTTTCTTGTAAATCTGCTTTACTTCTTTGTAGATTCTGGATATTAGCCATTTGTCGGATAAGTGGATTGCAAAAGTTTTTTGTTATTCTGTTGGTAGCGGGTTCACTGTAATGATTGTTTCTTTTGCTGTACTGAAGCTCTGGAGTTTCATTAGATCCCATTTGTCTATTTTGGCTTTTGTTGCCAATGCTTTTGGTGTTTTAGTCATGAAGTCCTTGCCTATGCCTACGTCCTGAATGGTATTGTCTAGGTTTTTTTCCTAGGGTTTTTATGGTGTTAGGTCTTATGTTTAAGTCTTTAATCCATCTGGAGTTAATTTTAGTGTAAAGTATCAGGAAGGGTCCAGTTTCTGCTTTCTGCACATAGCTAGCCAGTTTTTCCAACACCATTTATTAAACAGGGAATTTTTTCCCCATTGCTTGTTTTTGTCAGGTTTTCCAAAGATCAGATGGTTGTAGATGTGTGGTGTTGTTTCTGAGGCCTCTGTTCTGTTCCATTGGTCTACATCTCTGTTTTGGTGCCAGTATCATGCTGTTTTGATTACTGTAGCCTTGTAGTATAGTTTGAAATCAGGTAGCATGATGCCTTCAGCTTTGTTCTTTTGTTTAGGATTGTCTTGGCTTTGCAGGCTCTTTTTGTTCCATATGAAGTTTAAGGTGTTTTTTTTCCAGTTCTTTGAAGAGGATCTTAGGTGGCTTGATGGGGAGAGCATTGAATGTGTAAATTACTTTGGGCAGTATGGCCATTTTCACAATATTCATTCTTCCTAACCATGAGCATGGAATGTTTTTTCATTTGTTTGTGTCCTCTCTTACTTCGTTGAGCAGTGGTTTGTAGTTCTCCTTGAAGAGGTCCTTTACATCCTTTGTTAGTTGTATTCCTAGGTATTTTGTTCTCTTTGTAGCAATTGTGAATGGCAGTTCATTCTTGATTTGGCTCTCTTTAAGTCTGTTATGTTATTGGTATATAGGAATGCTTGTGATTTCGACACATTGATTTTGTATCCTGAGACTTTGCTGAATTACTTATCAGCTTGAGGAGATTTTGGCTGAGATGTTGGGGTCTTCTAAATAGACAATCATATTGTCTGCAAATAGAGACAATTTGACTTCCTCCTTTCCTAATTGAATACGCTTTATTTCTTTTTCTTGCCTGATTGCTCTGGCTAGAACTTCCAATACTATATCGAATAGGAGTGGTGATAGAGGGCATCCTTGTCTAGTGCCAGATTTCAAAGGAAATGCTTCCAGTTTTTGCCCATTCAGTTATGTTATTGGCTGTGTGTTTGTTGTAAATAGCATTTATTATTTTGACATACGTTCCTTTGATATCTATTTTATTGAGAGAGGAGCAAGATCCAAAAAACTCAAAAGCTAGCAGAAGACAAGAAATAACTAAGATCAGAACAGAACTGAAGGAGATAGAGACACAACCCTTCAAAAAAATCAATACCTGCAGGAGCTGGTTTTTTGAAAAGATCAACAAAATAGACTGCTAGCCAGATTAATAAAAAAAAGAAAAGAAAGAAGAATCAAATAGATGCAATAAAATCAATAAGGGACTATCACCACCAATTTCACAGAAATACAAATCACCATCAGAAATTACTACAAACAACTCTATGCACATAAACCAATAAACCTGGAAGAAATGGATAAGTTCCTGGACCGTTGCACACTCCCAATCCTAAACCAGGAAGAAGTTGAAACCCTGAATAGACCAATAACAAGGGCTGAAGTTGAGGCAGTAGTTAATCCCAGATCCAGATGGGTTCACAGCCGAATTACACCAGACATAGAAAGAGAAGATGGTACGACTCCTTCTGAAACTATTCCAAACAATCCAAAAAGACTGAATCCTTTCAAAATCATTTTATGAGACCAGCATCATCCTGATACCAAAACGTGGCAGAGACTCAACAAAAAAAAAACTTCAGGCCAATATCCATGATAAACACAAATGTAAAAATATTCAATAAAATACTGGCAAACCGATCGCAGCAGCACATCAAAGAGCTTATCCATCACAATCAAGTAGGCTTCATCCTGGGGATGCAAGTCAGGTTCAACATATGTAAGTCTATAAATGTAATCCACCACATAAACAGAACCAAAGACAAAAACCACATGATCATCTCAATAGATACAGAGAAGGCCTTCAACAGAATCCAAAATCAGTAACTAAAAGAAAACTAGAAAATTTACACAAGTGGAAATTAAAGAACACACTCAAATAATCGTTGGGTTAAAGAAGAACTTTAAATCAGAAAATATCTTGAGACAAATGAAAAAAATATACAAAATTTACTGGATGCAACATAGCAATACTAAGAGATGTTCATAACAATGAACGCCTACATTAAAAATCGAGAAATATCTTAAATGAAGAACTGAACTTTACACCTTAAGAAACAGACCAATGAAAACCAAGCTAAACATAAAGTTAGCAGGAAAAAGAAAATAACAAAGATTACAGTAGAAATGACTCAAATAGAAAAATAATAGAAAACAACAAAGCTAAGAGTTGACATTCTGAAAAGATAAAACTGACATACTCTTAGCTAGACTAAAAGAAGGCTGAAATAAAAAATGAACACTACAACTGATACCACAAAAATAAAAATCATAAAATCTATGAACAATTATAGTCATAGGATATAAGTATATGCTAACAAACTGGATAACTTAGAATAAATGGATAAATTTTTAGCAACATACAACTTACAAGACTAAGTAATAAAGACATGACCTGAATAGCCATAACTAGAATGGAGTAGTTATCAGTAATAAAAAACTTCCAAAGAAAAGCTGTGAACCTAACAGCTTCACTGTTTAGTTCTACTAAGCATTTCAAGAAAACTTAATAATAGCATTTCTCAAGTCCTCCAAAATACTGAAGAGAAGAAAATATTTCCAAGTTCGTTTCATCAGCATCACCCTGATACCAAAGTCAGACAAAGTCACAGGAAGAAAGAAAACTGCAAGTGAATAACCATGATAAATATACATGAAAAAATTCTCAACTGAATACAAGCAAGCTATAGGGTTGAAAGTTGGCAGAAGGAAGGGTGTCATAAAGATCAGAGCAAAGTATAGCAAACTGAATTCAACAGGCTTTCAGAAAGATCATATACCATGACCAAGAAGTTCTTTATCTCTGGGATTCAAAGATGGTTCAGCGTGTAAAAATCAATTAATATGATAAATTATATTAATAAAATAAAACATAAAAATCACATGATCATCTAAATAGGTGAAGATAAAATGTTTGACAAATCTCAACAAACATTTATAATAAAAACTTTCAACACACTAATAATAGATGGAAATTACCTTAACATCTTAACAGCCATATATAACAGACACACAGCTAGCATCATACTTAATGGGAAAAAGTTGAAAGCTTTTCCTCTAAGATCAGGAAAAAGGCAAGAATGCCTACTCTTGCTACTTCTATATGTATAGTAGTAGAAGTCATAACCTGAGCAATTAGGTAAGAGAAATAGATAAAAGGCATGCAAATTAGAAAGAAAGAAGCAAAGTTGTCCCTGTTTGTAGATGACGTGCCTTCCTCACTAAGCTTTATCATCTCTAGCTTTTGTATATAGGTGAGACATATGCAACTCTTCCTTTCATTTGACTACTTAGAGGTAATCATATCATTACTAATTGGCCTAATTTCAATATTGTTGTGTCTCAGGGAATAGGAAAATGTGAAGGGGGGGGAGAGAGAGAAGAGAGAGAGAGACACACACACAGACAGACAGCGGAATGGCCAGTCCATGGAACAGTCAGAATAATCACTATATGGATTGATTAACTTCATTGCCTTGCATGGGCGTCAATCATAATGCTCCGAAACACCTATAGTGGTAACATCAAAATCACTGATTACAAATGACCATAGTAGATACAATAATAATGAAAAATTGTTAAAATTGTTAAAATGTGGCACAGAGACAGGAAGTGAGCACATGCTATTGGAAAAACAGTGCTGCCAATAGACTTGCTGGAAACAAGGTTGCCACAGAGTTTCATTTGTAAAAAAACACAGTATCTGCAAGTACAATGGAATATAATAAAATGAAGTATGTCTATAAGGTCAACTGATTTTTGACAAAAGTGCCTAGAAAATACAGTAGGAAAATGATAGTTTTATGAGTAAATGATTTTGGGAAAACAATATCCACATACAAGATAATAAAATTGGATCTTTATCTTATACCATAAATAAGAATCAGCTCAAAAAGGACAACAGGCTTAAAGATAATACCTGAAAGTTTAAAACAACAAGAAGAAAACACAGGTGGAAATAATCATAATATTGGTCTTGACAATGATTTTATGTACATAGCACCTCAAGTACAGGCAACAAAAAGAAAAATAAACATGCAGGACTACATCAGATTTGCACAGCAATGGAAACAATCCAGAGAATGAAAAGGCAACTTATGGAATGGGAGAAAATGTTTGAAAATGATTTAAGTGTTTAATACCCGAAATATGTAGGGTATTAATATAACTTAATAGCAAAAACAAACAAACAAAACAAACAAACAAACAAAAAACCCTAAACACTTAATTAAAAAATGTTCTAAGGAGTTAAATGACATTTTCCCAAAGACGACATCACCTGTTAGAATGGTTATTATTTTATTTATTTTTTTATTCAGTCTCCATAGAAACTGTCAAAAATCGCCAATGCTGACTATATTTCAAGTTGTCATGGAGGGGTATTGGGAAAAGTTTACAATTAGCAATAATCGTGGCTTGGATAAACTTCACTGGCTATGATAGTGCCACTGCACAAAGCTATTATTATTATTATTATTATTATTATTATTATTTTAAAGGCAAGTGTTGGCAAGGATGTGGAGAAATTGGAACCCCTGCACTCTGTTGGTGGAAATGAAAAATAGTGCAGAAAATTTGGAAACATTATGGAGGTTCCTCAAAAACTTAAACATAGAACTACTGTATGACTAAGCAAGCTTACTTCTGGGTATTTATCCAATAGATGCTAGCACTCTTAGGTTCTTTGCAGCACTATTTACAATACCTCACTCAGGTGTGGAAACAACCAAATGCCATTGATTGACTAATTAATAAAAAAAATACAGTATATACATATTATGGATTACTATTCAGCCCTATAAAGGGAGGAAATTCTGCAGTATGGATGAACTTTGAGCACATTATGCTAAGTAAAATAAGCTGGTCACATAAAGACACATTCTGTATAATTTCAACTGTATGAGGTATTTAAAATAGCCAAATTAATAAAATCAAAGAGTGCAATAGTGATTACCAGAGTTTGGAGCAAGGTGGAAGTGGAGAGTTACTAATCAACTATCATGAAGTTTCAGTCAAGCAAAATGGATAAACTCTAGTAATCTTTTGTAAAATGTGCCTAGTGTCAACAGTAATGTACTGTATGCTAAAATGTTTAGGAAGGTATATCTCTTGTTAAATGTTCTCATCACAATGAAATAGACAAAAAACAAAACAAAACAAAAACCGTAAGTGTGTTCTCCCACAGTTCTGGAGACCAGAAGTCTGAAAGCAAGTTGCTGATATGGCTGTATTCCCTGTGAAGGTTTCAGGGGATAATCTGCTTCATGACTTTTTCAGCTTCTGTTGGCAATTGATAGTCTTTGGTGTTCCTTGGTCTATAGCTTCATAACCCAGTCTCTACCTTCATGATTATATTGCTGCTACTTCTTTTTGTGGTTTCTCCTCTGCATACCTATCTCAAAATCCCTCTGCCTTTCTTATATAAATATACATGTGATTGTATTTCATGTTCACCTGGATAATCTAACATAAGTTCTTTCTCTCAAGATCCTTAATCACATCTTCTGCCATATAAGGTATGATTTGCAGATTCTGGGGAGTAAGATGTGGACATATCTTTTTGAAGGACAGCATTTAGTACTCTATATTCCACTCTTTGGCACTTCAAAAATTATGTTCATCCTATATGCAAAATATATCCCTCAAAGCCTGAAACCATTACAGCACCAGTTCTAAATCCAAAAATCTCATTTAAAAATCATTGCTTAAAAAGTCCCAAATCTTACCATCTAGTCATGTAAATAAGGTATAGATGATACTCTAAGCATGATCCATCTTGGGACATTGTCTCTGTTTGTAGACCTGTGAAGCTAGAAAACAAGTTGTTTCCAAAATACGGTAATGAGACAGACGTAACAGTTACAAAATATTCCTGTTTCCAAAGGAAGAAAATGGAAAAAGTAAAGGGGCCATTGAGGGTGGACAATGGTGAGCTAAATGGTGACTCACCCAAAATATATCCATGTCTTTATTCCTCAACCTGTGAATATTGCCTTGTATGATAAAGAAACTGATTAAGGATCTAGAGAGCAGGAGCTGATCTGGATGATCTGAATGGGACTTAAATGCAATCACATCTATCCCTATAAGAGAAAAGCAGAGGGGTTTTTAGAGAAGGACACAGAGGAGAAGACACATAAAGAGGAGTAGGTGAACTCATGGGCAGAGATTGAATCGATGTGGGCACAAGTCAAGGAGTGGTGGAGCCACTGGAAGCTGGAATAAGCAAGAAATAATTCTCCCCTAGAGACTTCAGTCGTAGCATAGCCCTGTTGACACACTGGTTTCAGATTGCTGGCCTCCAGATCTATGAGAGAGTATACTTTTATTGTTTTAGACCACCAAGTTTGTCATAATTTGGACAAAGAAATATACAGCCAGAGGCAACTCATGCAGGAACTTACAAAGTTTTCACAGCTGTTTTCTTGCTCAAGTTTCAATTACTTCTCTTTTATGTAAAACAACTAATTTTGACCAATAAACTTTTCAGCATTAAAAATTTGACCTCAAAACATTTATAATTAACAGGAGACAACAGGAAAAGGATAAATGAAAAGTAGATTTATGACTTGTGTTTTCTGCCATTGTCAACAAAGGGGAGAATGTATTTTTTGAAAACTTCAACAGTCTCCTATTATTGAAGCTCCACTAGGCAACAAACTTTGGTTTCTTTTTTATGTGTTTAGACAAATTACAGGACAGAAGAAATTAACTCACATACTGTATCAGGTGGAGCCTGGTGAGGAAAATAGACAACAGTCATTTTAACAGGCAATTTAATGTAAGGATATAAATAAGCAGGTATTGGAGAAAAAGGGAAACATTGAGGCAATACAGAGATAGTACCTGAAGGAAGCAGCTGTGCTCCCCAGGGCTCAGGAACAAAGGGAACAGGTTGAGGTTACTAGAATTGAGAAGTTCAGAGTGGGAATCTTGTGAATATGGTCCTATTATCTCTGAGATGCCAAAAGATGATTGGTTTTGGATCATGAAAATAATGGAAATTGGAATCAACTACTTCTGAAGCCAACTACTGCTGCTGAGATGAAGTAACTGTGCTGAATGATGCCAAATGGTGAGTCCCCCAAAATATGACCATATCCTTATTCCTGGAACCTACGAATATTACCTTGTATAATAAAGGAACTGATTACCTTAAGGATCTTGAGAGGTTAGCTCCTCCTCTCACAGAACAGTGAGCAAATAGAAGGCAAGTCTCCTCTCTCACCTCTAGTCTCCCTCTAGCATCTCTTGGTGCCCATATCTAAGAAACTCAGCTGGCAGGGGTGAAAGAGAGTCTGTAGAGTTCCAGCGCCAGCAGTGCAAAGTTGAGTGTAGAGGGTTGGGTTTGGAGCTAAGATTCCGTAGCTTAATAGCAATCTCAGACATGGAAGCAATACATGTGAAGGAAACTGATGAGGTAACCTGAAGTTATGTTTACTGTAAAGAATGAAGTCACGTTTTCTTTCCTAAGTTCAGAAGTGTTACTGAATTCACCTGGAGCAAGTAAAAGGCAGACTGTCCAGAAATGGATGTTGCTTATCTAGAGGAGAGTGGACTGTCACTCGAAGTGTTCATGTGAATCTGTCGTCAAATCTCCTTGGACCTTTGTGATCTGTTGGTGTTGGATGAAGGTGGAGGGAGGGATGTCATACAGTTTTAAGGATGTGGTGGTGACTGCATTAAAGGGCTGCTTTTGCAGGAAGGAACAAGCAGCTATGCTTAGTCTTGGAAATCACGTAGAAGCCAAGTGCCCCACTTAGTCATAAAAATGAATGCAATCTGAAAAAGTGCTCCTGGCAAGCTATTTTACTGGAATGAGAGGGCAGTTAAATATTTTTCAGTTACATGTTGTCTTGAATGAGGGCTTCTTTTAGTAAAATGTTTGCAGCTGACACATCTGAGGATAAGTATTTTCCTGCCCACCCATGCTTCCCCTTAGCTTTGACAAGGGTCAGCATGCTCTAAGTCCTCAGTATATAGCTTCAGAACGTTTTTTTGTGTGTGTGTGTTGATTGGGTGTCTTGACCTGGACCATTTGCCTCTTCTCCCACGTACATTTGATTAGGAAGGTGTGGGGCTACAGCACCACTAAAATTCCCTGGTGTCTCTCCAAGGAGGTAGAAGACTTAGGTGGAATCTTTGTCTCTTTTGGGACCTTTTTTTTTTTTTTTTTTTTGAGACAGAGTGTCGCTCTCGTTACCCGTTACCCAGGCTGGAGTGCAATGGCACGATCTCGGCTCACCGCAACCTCTGCCTCCTGGGTTCAAGCAATTCTCCTGCCTCAGCCTCCTGAGTAGCTGGGACTACAGGCACGCACCACCATGCCCAGCTAATTTTTTGTATTTTTAGTAGAGACGGGGTTTCACCACGTTGACCAGGATGGTCTCGATCTCTCGACCTCGTGATCCACCCGCCTCGGCCTCCCAAAGTGCTGGGATTACAGGCTTGAGCCACCGCGCCCGGCCTCTTTTGGGACCTTTTTAAGGTGCCTGGGGAGCCTGCATTTTCACTATTTGCTGGATGTCCTGGAAGGTATGGATCTATGGCTATGTATTACCTAGTTTTAGCATCATTTTCTTCAAAATTGCTCTCTGTCATCATTCAGTGCTAGTCAGGACCACCTTCACTTAGAATTTGTACTTACTGCCATGATTTCAGCTCCCTCTCTCTTTCCACATTTGACTCGTACTGGCTGAGAGGACAGCCCTTTGCCCCATTCACATACACTAGGGGACAGGTAGTATAATGTAGCCGTTAAGCATTTGAGTTTGAAACGTAGTGTCAGAAACATTAGGCAGTTACATAACCTTGTTGACCTTCAGTTTCCTCATTTTCAAAGAGTGATTATGGTAGTTTCTACCTCATGGAGTTTTGTATTAAATAAAATTAAAATGTGCAAAGCACTAGAATCGTGTCAGGTATGTAACAAATGGCTAGTGAGTGTTAGCATTATTGTTAAATTCCAACTCTATAATGAGATTCTTGGATTATCTCTTCTATTTGATTTGGATTCAAGTTTAGCTTTTAAGGGTGTCTGAAGATAACCATACTGGCTTCCTCTCCTGTAACAAGGGGCTTAAAAGATAAATAGACACTGCTATCACATAAAATCACACCTGGCTATGATTGAGTAGGAAGGATACTACAGCAGGCAGAACTGCTGCTGTGGCTGCTGGCTTGATTCTGCTTGGGATTTTCCTTTGAAGACACAAGAGAAAGCTCCTGTCTGTGAAGACCTGCTGGGTCCCAGCTGCCAACTTCCAGTGGCAAGACCCAGCCGCAGAGATAGATGTTGGGTTTCTTTCTCAGATAGCGTGTAGGCTACCACTTAAAGTTCACCAGAGGGCAGTGGCTAGTGCCATTTATACGAATCTCAAGCTTTAATTTGGAAAGACAGTTCTGGCTGTTTCTGGCTGCAGTAGGTACACAGAGAGTCTCAGATTGGTGAGAGTTTACT